TGTATCTCTTTAGCTACCTTTAGACATCTAAGTATCCTCATACATGCACCTCAAGATCTAACACTCAGTTGATAGAAAATTATCTGACTTAAGACAGGATTGGTAGAGATATTACAGCATCAATGTAGGTGATGAAGAACCAGAAGATGATATAGCTATAGTAATAACATTTATTGTTCAGCATATTGATAGCCAATACTAACACAATTATTCACCTGTAACCATAGGTCACTTAATCAAAGTTGTTTGTATTGTAAAAATACACTACTTTGATTTTGTAACAATGTGTAATATTTTCTAATCATTGTACAGTCAAATGGCGAAAATTTCCTTTTTGGGAAATTTGTCACACATAGTGACACACATGTAGCAGTGTGACCCTGGCTGCACTCACATACCAGTATCACATCTTAATGCCTGAGTCACTGGGCTGATTTAGAAATTTCCCCCTTGGGAAAGTTATAGGATAAAGGCAAGAGTAAATCTCATATTTATCTATCCATTTTTGTGTGTGATAAAACAACTATATAAATAGAAGCTTTTGACACAAAGGAAATCTGTGGACAAAGCTATCCTTTTTTCCAGCAGAAAAACTGAAAGTAAAACTGTCTGATAAATGCCACATTTATTCACTAATTTGAGCTATGATTTCTACAAAGGAAAAAACTAGACATAAATCTTAGATATATCTGAGCATTGATTTGCAGAAAAAACCAGGGATTTTACTGACAGATAAAGCAACAGATAAACTTGTCTTTGTCTTTTAAATAGCAAATTTTTCTGTGGCTTTATCCAGCAGGACCAGCAGGAAAAACCTAACATTTTCCTTTTAGATAAATGTCTAAATTTATCCAAGATTTATCTCAAGTTTTATCCTTTGTAGAGATGCTAGGTTAAATTAATGCATAAATATGGCATTTATCTATAGGTTTTATCCTGGGTTGTTATGCTGGAAAAATGCCAGCTTTATTCCCAAATTTTTCTTGGGTTAAAATCTACTATTTATATCATATAAAAAATCTATAGATAAATTGGAAATTTATCCTTCCATTTATCCTCTAACTTTCCCAGGGGGTAAATTCCTTAATCAGCCCAGTGAGTCTTCCCACATCCAAATTATTTATAATTATTTATACCTGATCTTAAATATTAACTTGTATCCTTCAGGAAAAGTTACCTTATATAAAAACAGCATTAGTCACATCAGATTATATTAATTTACTATCACACTAGTCATATACGCAAAAAATACTCTAAGTCTTAGAATTATTGAAGAATTATCAGAGCAAATATCACAGAATAGGCCTAGACACTCTTTTCTTCATGTTAGAAGGCTCGACCAGATGTATCTGGGATTAACAGGTGGTAATATCTAGAATGATATAGAAGAGCGTACTAATAGTATTCCCAGGAGCAGGTTATGCTGTCGTAGGTGCGTTCACCGAGCACATCTGAGAGTAGCTGTAGAGAGGCGGGAGCTTGCTTCTCTGCTTTGCTAACATATTTAGCAATATAGCTAGTTGTAGGTGAGTACCAATCTGTTCTCTATGCGAAAAAAAAAAAACTTACTTTGGAGCAGTAACTGTACTTAATACTGGCTTAATATCAAAATTTGCCCCAATGTACGGACATGCTGGTACCTTTGTGGCTCAGAAGGTCGATATGTACCTCTTCTAAATAGCAGAATATGTCCTCTCACATCTCCTAGTAGCTTCCAACTACTTGACGAAACGACCGACTCCACCTACTAGCAACCAGCGGGGGGTATACGTCCGTTGTCCTGACTTCGACCAGCTCCAACTCACGTGTTTGTTCGCGCTACCAAGGTAAAGATGGAGAAGGGTGTGTATTACTGCCTAATACCTACAGATAGGCCGGGCCGACCACATCCGAGCTAATCGTAAACCGCATAAACAAACACACTTAAATTAACCCTATAGCTAATCTGGATCTCTCACAGCACTATTATCAGTGTTATCTATTCCAAAGATGATAACTTCACCATGGCTTTACCTTTGCTATTTTAAGTGACCTGAGTTTCACCTCCAGGAAACTGGTGCCCCTGCTCCTATAGCATATCTCTATTCTAGGCTATATAGCACTCAACGTCTTTAAGAATTTAATAGCCCTAGCACTTATTGTGTAGTTATAATAATCGACATGGATCATGAGATTTTGGGCATAGAGTCTTAAGATATCAGCAAAATACTTCTCAATTCAGTATTTAGACATATTTATCTGCACATAGATTGAGGTAATAATGACACATAGTATTACTGAACAGGCTAGGAGATGGTAACATGGCCTTTTTCCAGCTCTAGCATCTAAGGCTAGCAGAAGATCAACACTTATCTTTCAGAATTTAATAGCCCTAGCACTTATTGTGTAGTTATAATAATCGACATGGATCATGAGATTTTGGGCATAGAGTCTTAAGATATCAGCAAAATACTTCTCAATTCAGTATTTAGGCATGTTTATCTGCAAATAGATTCAGGTAATGGTGACACATAGTATCACTGAACGGGCTAGGAGATGGTAACATGGTATACCTTTTAAAAAAGCCTTTTCCCAGCTTTATCATCCAAGGCTAGCAGAAGATCAACACTTATCTTTCAGGGTGGATGGAGATCAAATACCTCTGATGAGCGATTGTGTTGTATCCTCAGTGCCAATTGCATATTCACGTAGGTAAGTTTCAACTCTTTGGCTCTCTTGCTATCTAATCAAGATAGAACATATATTGCATGACTACTGCGACCACGAGCAAAACACGTGGCTACCTCGGGTCAAGTGCACGGGGTGCCCCTGCACCCACACGGAACTATTCGGCGCTGGGATCTGTGGGAGTACAAACAAGTTGGCAAAGCGCATCAAGCAAGCCGCACGCAAGGCGGGAGTTGTGTTATGGAAATTATGAAATACTATATGCTTACGTATCATGCTATATGCTTACTTATATGCCATATGCTTACTCAGGGGATCAGACGACCTCATCTGCTTCAAAGTAACCCAGTTACTTCATATCCTACCCTACATTACGCCCTTATATCATCTGGCACTTCAGTTTTGCGCTTCTCTTGTTCAATACATGCGAGCTCTTGTTCATGCGCAACCCACTCCGGCTCCTCCTGTGCCACTCGCACCTCGGTTTCCTATTTTTCTTGTTTGATGCGCGCGAGCTCCGCTTGCTTGTCGGCTTCTTCCTTGGCAAGTCGTTCTTCTTCTTCAACTCGGAGCTGCTCTTCTTGCTGTATTTGGGAAGCTGCGCTCATCTGTAACCTCCACTGGCAGGGCCGCAGCTTAGCCTCAAATCTATGATTTGGCAGACAATTGACAGCTTAGAGCACAAAGCCCAGGAAAATAGTGCTAGCCAGAATTATATCGTTGATTGGATAGTGTAAGGACAACTCAGGAGACTCCGACGAAAGCCTAGCAGGGGAGGATCCAAAGCGTGAATAAAAGCTACGGAGATACACGGAGGGACCGACCTAGCAGGGGAGGATCCAAAGAGAAGAAACTCTCAGGGTCTGCCTGCTAGGGCGCCAACTATATACTGGTCGTCCGTAACTGCCGACATAGAGTGCAGAAGGCCTGAGCGGCGTCGCAGGCTCTGTCCCAAGGTGACCGTTGGGAGGATCTTAACGGATCGGTGATTGTGCGGGCGAAGGAGGCTGAGGACGAGGGTCGGGGTAGGTCAGAGCGTCCGAGGGGGCGCCGGTCGGATGCGCTCGGACGGTCCGAAGGAGGCCGAAGCGGGGGTTCCCCTGACAATGGTTGATTAGATATTGGATATGTTTGCTAATATAATATGTGCTTGGTTGATGACTTAAATATGCTCATACATGAATACATTATGTTATATTACTGACCCATTTCATTCAATTCAGCGGGCCTGTGACCCGTGACCGTTTGGCCGAAATGTCTAATTCGGCCTCCGGCCGAATTTTGTGTGACCTCTTACCTAAATAGGAAATTCAGCACGCCGAAGGCACAAAAATTTTGAGATTCTTCCAAATTGGGATGCTTTGGGACCAAAAGAATGGGCTGTGACCTGTGACTGGCCGAAATATTTCAGCCAAAAATCCCAATGTAACCGTGACCCGCTGAATTGAATGAAATGGGTCAGTATAGGCATAGAATATTCAAGGATGATGACAACTATTTTCCCAGTCAGTGTGCTTATTAATAGGACAAATGACAGTCTGATTCAGACCTATTTCCAGGAAATATCATATATCATCCATGGATCACCATAATGGAGAACCTCTGATCAAGATTCAAGTGTCTACTCGCCAATCTGATGCCCTGGTTGTATCCTCGGGGTCCCAGGCTGGAGCTAGAAGGCCCTGGAAGGAAGTTGTCCTGATAGTTTATTAATTAGTCTAGCAGCTGCCAAATATGTCAAATATATATCACAGGATATGCATACTGGATAATAGTTGAATATATTCATCATGATAGCATATTCATATCTTGCAGCTGGATATGGTATGATTGTGATATACTTATTATGTCCTCAGAGTAATATACATAATCATATTTGGCCGGCACTACAGTCTACAAGAAGAGCACCTGTTTCTGAGATACAGTGGAAGACATAGGACTCGACAGGCGCAATTTGTGCGCGGACTGCAATGGGGACCTGTGTAAGTACGGGAAATGATAGCCATCATGATCATGATGGATATCCGCGGTGTGACATCGTGTGACGTGCTTCTCTGGCTGCCACGTCGACGATGGCCGCCGGGTGAGTGGGCTGCAACGAGCGGCTGACCAGATGCGTGCGCGGGCGGCGTGCGAGGCCGGGCGTGTTCTGCGCGGGGCTGTATGCGTCGCCAACGCGACGCGGAACTGCCACCGCGACGCGATGCGGAACTGGCCAGAAGGCTTCTTTGCGGGCGCGCTCTCCAGGGGCCCGGGGCCGGGCGCTGCTGCGCGGCGGGGCAATATTAATAGGGAGCCGCGGGGTCTGGGACGCCATCACAAAACAAACGGAGATGCACCACTTTGGGCAGACGACGAGCAGCAGCAGCACGACGACGGTGTCGAGCACGACGACGACGTCGACGTCGACCCGCGCCGTCGAGCACGAGCACGAGCACGAGCACGAGCACCACCACCCGCACGTGCTCGACGCCCCTGCGCCGGCCCCAGTCCCGGTCCCGGTGGCGGCGGTGCAGTACGTGGCGGTGCGGGCGGTCGAGCACGCAGAGGAGGACGAGGTGGAGTACATCTACTACCGCATCTCCACCGCGGACAACGTCGCGCTCCCGTCCGCGCACGCCTTCCGCGAGGACGAGCGCGCGCTCGGCCGCGTGCCCCGGCAGCGCGCGCGTCTCCTCGGCGAGACGAAGAAGGACACGCAGATGACCGCGTACGAGCTCGCGCGCGCGCTTTCAAAGCTCGAGGACAACAGGGAGCTCCTCAACGCGACCGTGCACACCGCGCGCGGCCCGCTCGCCGACGGCGACGCGCTGGGCTACCGCGCGGGCGCGTCCGCCGCCGCCGCGCTCGACGTCGTGCTCGCGCTCGACAAGGCGCGCCTCGACTTCGCGCAGGGCAAGGGCCCGCAGCCCACGCCCGAGCAGCTCGCGCAGGGCCAGCGCGACTTCGCCGCGTTCAACGACCAGATGGGCGGGCTCATGGGCCAGATGATGGGCGCGCACAACGCGTTCGCCGGCCGCGAGCCGCAGCCGCCGGCCGCGCTCGCGGGGATGCCCGGGATGGGCGGCGGGATGTTCGGCGCGGGCGGACCGGGCGCGGGCGGGATGGGAATGGGCGGAATGGGCGGTATGTTCGGCGGCGCGGGGGGCATGGACATGTTCGGCGGTGGCATGGGTGGCATGGGCAGTATGGGGAGTATGGGCGGGATGTTCGGCGGCGGCGCACCCGGGGGGATGCCCGGCCCCGGCGCAGCACCCGGTTCCGGTGCCGGCGCAGGCACGGGGAGCACGACCTCCATGTTCGGCGCCGCGGCCATGTTCGGCCAGCAGCACTAAGTAGCTTCGCACATCTTGTATAAGTATACTGGGCCCACAAATCCAAAAAGCGTACACGCGCGCCCCGCTTCCGCTCGTCGTCGGCCTTAGTGAGTCGACCCAAACACCCCGCAGTCGGGAGGAGAGTACATCCCCGTGGTGCAGCTAGTACTCACCAGAATATCATCAAATATTGAATACATTTGGAATATTTGCATATATCATGCCCTTGGTTGATCCCCTGAATATGATTTACTTTGATATGTTAAGTATATCATTTTATGACTATACCATCGCCACAGAATATCCACATATAGTAAGCTGGATGGTCACAGCTCTTTTCTTTCCCCAGTATATGCACTCCCTACTAGTACTTATCTAGTGTTACATCAGGGAATACCTCCCTGGGTAACCTATGCACAATTTGATATAATCATGGATAATTAGTGCAAATTATCTTGCATTATCGCATTATACAAAATTATCGCACATGCGTGAAAATTTATGTTCTTGGAGGATAATTTAGAGCAAATAGGATATAACTTGTTGATAATTTTCAAGCTATTATAGTCTCTTATATTACTTTCCTAGCTCATAAATTGGTTGACACAACACAGAAAAAATCACATTAAAGCATAACACAAAGTCTATATTGAAGAAAGAAATGATCTAGTTATTACTCTCTGGCTCAGGTGCTAGAGTAAGAATGTTGAGGGCAGAGCCTTGCCCTAAGACAGCAGCTGCTTCCCGGGAGCATCTGATATCACCAACTAGACAGGCTGGGGCTACGCCCCAGCTTCAAACATTGCTTCACAGATTTTGAAGATTGAATGTGCTAATTTTATTTATGAGTTTATGAAATCTCAAGGTCTACATGCCCTACATACTAATGTTACAGCCAAGCACAATATCACAAATAGCCTTAGATTAGACTTGTTTATGGTACTTGGTGCTCTTAGTTTTACGTAGTTTTACAGCTTTGTGTCCCAATTAGACTCTTTACAGCTTTTCTTACCAAATTAGGGTTTCAACAGCAGTAAACCCAAAAGTGGAAATGTGGAGTAAATGAATTGCTAAAGCTGATGCCAAACATGTGCATACATTCACACGACATCTGCTTAATATAAGAGTAATGAGACAAGCAATCAAGCACAGGAAGGGCCACATACACAATAAGATTATAGAGACCATGCATTGCTCGATGGAGACCATCAGGGTTGGCCTCGCGAGCAGAGGCAAGCATGTCAACCAGACTTCGGTATGTCGTCTCAAGTGACTCCTGTGTGAAGTCAGCAGCAGGCGCAAGGCGGCCCGTCTGCCACATATAGATGGCACCAAGAAACTAATTCACATCATATAAGCACCAAGCCTGAAGAGCAAATCAATGGACGTACATGAGCACCAACCAGGCCAAGCATTGCTGGCGGAAGCTCGTACTGGTTCTTGTACTTGTCGTTATAGGACTGGAACTGGTCGATGTGCGTGCGGCCTAGGCCCTTCGGGCTAAAGAACACCTCTTGAATGGTTTCGACGATTGGTTCTGCATAGAACGGTAAGTTGGTCATGAATTTGAGGAGCTGCCAGACATTAGCTCAATGCTACCCATTTCACGAAACGCACCGGAGGGTCGGGAGGCTGTTGGGGATCTGTCTGAGGAGCAGAAACAAACTCGACCGGAAAGATAAATGACTGGTCTTTGATGATTGCCTTGACACGGTCGCGGATATGAACAGGCTTGACCCCCACCCCCTTGAACTGGAAGTAGGCGGAAACCTTGGCGATGATAGCCTTCTTGACGGCTCGACGTAGAATGGCCACGCGAGCGAGCACCTAAAGCGAAAATCAGTATAACATCAATGAAGAATTGAAACCTACAAGGTCGGCGAGAAGGGAACAGAACCCATCATCGGCACGGATGCGCTCCTTCAGCTTTCGGACAATGGCCTTGTCTACCCCGGAAGATGAGAGCTGCCGAGCGGCGTCAAGAAGGAAATTGATTATAAAGGTAGCACGATTGGCCATGGGAGGGTATGCGTCGTTGAAGACGCCATCCAGCAAAACGATGACCATGGCCTTGCGCGCAAGCTTGCGAATAAATTTTGATCGAGTAGCGCCAGCTTGCCGACACCACCAGCAGGGCCAACGAGGCAGACACCAGCCGGCCATTGCAGCTGGTTTGTAAGCGCAGCCTTGCGAGCGTGAGACCGAGCTGCAGTGACCGGTGCAGCCTCGTCTTGGACGTCGATAACCTGCACCAGTTATCAGCACAACAAGCAGCCAGAAAAGAAGGGAGGGACTTCCCTCAGCATCGTATCGAGCCTGCTGGACGGACTTTTTCTTGTGGACCTAGAGCGGAGTAAGCATTCGAAGAATAAGAAGATGCGACATTTACTTTTTGTCGTGGTAGAGGTTCTTTCTCATCTTCCTCGTCATCCTGCTCATCTTCACGTTCCCCAAATCCATCGTATTCATCGCCAAAAGAGGGTCCTGGAGTCTCGTCCTCATTCTCCAGCTGATCGAGGACTTGTTCCGCCTCAGACGGGACCTCACGATCGATGTCCATGTGGCTCGAGGCGCGACTCGAAGCCCGCGATGGAGAACGACTGACAGGTGGTATTTCGATATCGTCCCTGGTGGAGCTGCGGCCGCGGGAAATCTCGCGAAAGAGTGGGCGCTGACGGGCATTAGCGCACAAATATTCCGCCTAGACAGATGATATACCTCTGACCGCAATTGCTCGTCAATGGCGGCAGCGTCACCCTCGAAGTTCTTCTCCATCGTCCACGTCCTCAGACCCAGCGCCGCCCATCATATCGACATCGTTGTCCGAGGGAATGTCATCATCGGAGGTGACGACTTTCTGCGGCATCGTGCTGGGCTGTCGTTGAGAGACTAACGCGAGTAAACACGCAGCAAGCTCGAAAAAAGACAATAAAACACTTACCATAGGGCTCCCCTTCCGACTCTGAGTCGATAAGTCGTTTTGGTGGAGCCTTTCGGGGTTTTGCAGAGGCTAGTGGGCGATGGGGCAATTAGGGCGGATTTGAAGAGAATGCAGAGGCGTACGAGCAGGGGCCGGGTCTTCCTCATCTTCTGTTTCATACGGTGCTGGTGCGAATGGACGAACTGGGCCAGGTAGTTAAAAGGGGAGAGTGGAATTGACAGACATGGCGCACCGTTCTTCTTCACTGTCGTCTGCTGCTTGCGGCGAGAGGCCTGTTGCTGAGTTGATCCTAACACATTTCAGCCCTGCGCGGACACTACCTGAATGACAAGACTTACTTGGTGGTGCGACCGCCTTTGGAGCTCTTGCCGCTGTTCGCCGGCTTTGCTGGTTTTGCTGGCTTCTTCTTTGGTGGTTGTGCCGACTCGCCTGCACTGGCCGCGCGGTCTCTCTTGCGACCTGACTCGGGCTCTGGCGCAGTATCCGCGAGGTTTTTGCGCGTCCACACTAGAAAACAGATTTATCTCTGGCAAGACAACGCTCGAATTCGCACCTTTATTGACAAGTGCTTTTGCCTTTGCGTCCCGCGGAGCACCTTGACGGACTTCAAACAGGGAGGGGGGCGCGTTCGAAGCTACTCACGAGCGGTCTCCGCCTCGTTCTGACGTTCTTGAGCCCGCTGGTTGGCGGTATTTGTCTGTCGGGTGAGTTTGCGCTGCTCCGTGGTCGAAAGACGATGCTGAGGGACCTCGTCGTCAGAGTTGTACGTGTCGACGTCGCCAGCCATGTCGGGTGGGGGAGGCGGCTGAAGGTGTGGTGGTGGACGAGAGCACTTAGGAAATTTTCGTGTGACGACGATCATCCGTGATGCATCGGGCTCCACGGAGGCCCAGAATTGGCCAAAATCACAGAACACGGGCAGATCTTACCGTGTCTTCCCACAGGCAGCTCTCACCCTCGCCACTTGTCGCCACTCTCCTTGCGTATCACTTCTTCATCATGCCTTACTGCGAAGGCTGCCAGCGGTCGTTTGGGCAAAATCGCGGCTACTCGCTCCATTTTCTGACAACACAGAACGAAGCATGTCGTGAGATTCACTGCCGCATGGCTCCGATTGCTGGCAACGACACAGACTCGGATGATGAAGCATCCCAGCATGGCTCCGACTCCGAGTCGGATGATGCTTTACTGTTTGATGAAGACTTGGCGCAGGACTTACCACTTGGCTCGACTCATTTTGCTGGCGATCTCTTTGGGGCCGACTACACCGGCAGCGATTTCGAAGGATTCGAATCAGACGAGGGCGGGTCGGACTCAGAGGGTGAGGACACTGCTGCTGATCGTCTTGCGGCGGCGACACAAGCTGTGGACGAGGACGGCTGGGAGCCGGAGCGTCCTGCTGCCGCTGAGATGAACCTTATGGATGTCGATGAGCCAGAAAGTACACCACCGCCACTTCCAAAAACACGCATCATTGCCGAGGACCGATTCCACAAACCACCCGTCATCGTTCCCTTTCCCAGCGAGCGCGCTGGGGAGGCGATTTCCATGTCAGCGGGTGCACTACCTGCTCATGAAGCATATCGCGCAAAGCTCGGGCCTTCACCATCGCTCTACTCTCCATTCACCTCACAGATGGATTGGGCCATCGGTAACTGGGCAAAGATGCGCGGGCCCTCGTCAACAGCATTTACCGATCTCCTCAAGATTCCAGGCGTAAGTTCAAATTCCCAGTCGCACTTTAGGTTGCCTCATTTATTGTTCCAGGTCCGAGAGGCGCTGGGTCTATCATATGGCTCTATGAACGAGCTCAATAAAATCATCGACAAGAAGCTCCCCGGTCGGCCGAAATTCAAACGGGCCAAGATAATCGTTCAAGGGGAATCATTTGACCTGTACTTTCGTGACATTATCGAGTGTGTACGCCGCACTTTTTTCGGATGCCAACTTTGCACCGTATCTCGTTTTCCGGCCTGAGCGCCATTATGCAGATGAAGATCAGACAATTCGTCTGTATCACGATATGCATACTGGTCGCTGGTGGTGGAGCACTCAAGTCGGTTCTTCGACGCTTCTCAATTGCTAACGACTGAAACTTTAATAGAAAGAAGTCGAAAAAAACTCGCCGGGGGCCACGATTGTCCCGATCATCATCTCCTCCGACAAGACTCAACTTACGCTGTTTGGTAACCAAGCTGCCTATCCGGTGTACCTAACCATTGGGAATATTCCCAAAGCTATCCGACGGAAACCCTCATATCGGGCCTACGTTCTTCTTGCGTACTTACCCACCGCAAACCTTAGTCATATTACCAATCTAGCTTCTCGCCGTCGCACGCTTGGTAATTTATTCCATGCCTGCCTCACTCATATCACCCAGCCACTCCGCAAAGCGGGTATCGATGGCATCGAGCTCTTCACTGCCACCGGCGAGGCTTACCGTGGACACACAATATGTGCTAGTTATGTCGGTGATTACCCAGAGCAGATTCTGTCAACGGCTGCTATCTATGGCGACTGTCCTTCATGCGAATGTCCTCATGGACATCTTGGTGATGCCAATTGCACCTGCCCACTCCGCAATCTCGAAAAGATTTTGCGGGCGCTTGATACCCTTGATCAGGGGGGGACTGTCTATGCACGAGCATGTGCTGATGCTCGTCTCAAGCCAATTGTCCATCTATTCTGGGAAGCACTGCCCTATACCAATTTCTTTTCTTGCATCACACCCGACATTCTTCACCAGTGCTACCAGGGTGTTATCAAACATCTTATTGCCTGGGTCAAGGAAGCCTATGGGGAAGCTGAAATTGATGCGCGGTGTCGTCGACTACCACCAAATCATAATATTCGGGTTTTCTTAAAGGGAATTTCGAAGCTTAATCGAGTATCTGGTCGGGAGCATGACCAGATTTCTCGGTTTCTTCTGGGAATAGTCATTGACCTTCCTCTACCTGGCGGCTCTTCACCAGTTCGGCTTGTGCGTGCTGTACGTGCAATCTTGGACTTTGTCTATCTTGCTCAATATCCAATGCACTCGACCGAAACCCTTGCACATCTCGAGAATGCCCGACAACGATTTCATGACAACAAGGATGTCTTTGTAGATCTGGGAGTATGTTCATTATTTCTGGGAGAATATTTCCACTTATTCTTGTCTAGATTCGCTCAGACTTCAACCTACCAAAGGTACACTCTTGGCGACATTACATCCGTGCTATCGAGTGGCTTGGAACAACAGACAACTACAACACCGAGTATACAGAGCGATTGCATATTGATCTGGCAAAAGACGCTTTCCGCTCAACAAATGCCAAGGACGAATTTCCGCAAATGACACTTTGGTTGGAGAGACGGGAGAAAGTGGTGCGTCATTTGCAGTACATTCAATGGCGGCTTGATGGCTTCCCTGCCCCGATCATCATCCAAAATCTCCACCCTGGCATTGTCTATGAGCACAAGCTTGTTATGGCAAAGAATCCAACCAAGAAATCTGTGCGATTCAGCATACTTCAAACAGAGTATGGTGCAGCAGACTTCACAAATGCATTAAAACAATACATTGCATTTGTCAATGAACCAGGCCTTAACCGCCAACAGCTAGCTCGGGCAGCAGAGAATATTCATTTATTCTTCAATTCCGTTCCTGTCTTTCAGCGCATCAAGTTTACAGCACTTGATCCATATGTGCTGAAGGGTCCAGAGGATGTTATTGTTGACTCTATCCATGTTCAGCCAGAAAACTCTTTCCCCAATGGTGATGAAATCCCAGCCAGATTTGACACAGCCTTGATTCAAGTTGGGGATACTGGATCTGGAATTGGGACTGATGGTATCAGTTTTCTTTGATTGATCTCTTATGGCAATGATTCTGATCATCATTTAGGTCTCCAGATTGGTCAAATACGGGTTATCTTCTCTCTCCATCCACGGGCCAGTGCATCACTCTTTCCAGAGGCACAGCCAGCAAAATATTTGGCCTATGTGGAATGGTTCTCGCACTTTACCAAGCAGCCTGAACCAAATCATCTGATGTACAAGGTCAAGCGGATGGAAGATACCACTGGCCGACGTGTGGCTAGCATCATTCCTGTCAACAACATTCAGCGCAGTGTTCATCTCTTGCCCAAATTTGGGCCAGTTGCTCCTTCAGACTGGAAGTCCAGCAATGTTCTAGAGCGCTGTAAAACGTTCTTTGCCAACCCTATGTCAGACCGTCATATTTACATGACATTGTACTAATATATGCCTAAAATTATGCTTTATTTTCAAACCCTGTCTTCATATTTGGTCAAATTATCCCAAATTTATACCAATTTTTAGTGAATTATAGTAAATTATACAGGCCATATATAATTATTGATAATTTGGTCTAAGCTACCTTGGGAGGTTTTTCCTGATGTACTTCTGACAACTATCCTATATCAGCTTCTTTGGGACAACTTCGGGGTCACACCTTGCCCTCAACATATGCCTGATGAAAACTATATTTGTCACAATACCGATCAATTAGTCCTGTCACAGTGTCACGGATTATAGCAGCTGAGATCAGAACACAGGTCTGGGCCACACATGTGTCGGCGACGGCTCCGAGAGCCCAATGTACGCGCCGGACATGTGCCCGGGCACCCCAGATCTGTCACGTTCCTGTTTCAAAACCGTGGTCTGTCTGCGGACATTTCAAAACTCACACCTGTTTCGAAACCGTTTCAAACCAGGTTTCAAAACAGGTTCAACTCACAGTGTCCAACTGCGGGTCGGGCCGTGCAAGGTCCTCTCCTAAGAACGCACACCTGGAACAGAACAGATGGATAGTTGGGCCCGCGAGTATGGCGAGCGGGGTAGATCGAAACCGAAAGGGCCCATGAACTCGGTCCCTTGTCGTCGGCGGTGGTCGAAGGTTCGGATTGGGTGGTGTCGGGCCCGATAAGTCGACGGCACCTCCTTGCACAGAGTAAGGTAGTTCTTTAGATGATCTAAGCAATAGAGTACATGGTACACTATCGCGCCTTATATACGCGGTCCTGCAAAGGGGTAATCGGACACCCTGGCCTCTCCTCCTCCTCCTCTCCCCGTTCCTGGCCGCAGAGGGGACGATCGGACATCCCTTGTGGGCCAGGCGCTACTCCTAACCTCCTAGCACTCCTCCCCAACCCCTGGTGTCGAAGTTGGGCTCGGCGACGGCTCGACGCGTCGTTCTCGGTCACGTGCTTCTCATGTGTGTGTTCCTCCTACTGGGGCGCATGTTCCCCGTTGTCACATGCTGCGTGTTACGGGCCCGCGGTGGCCCGACACCAGCGCCCGGAGAGGACGGGCCGGGTCTTATCCGTGACACACAGCATCCTAATCTGAACAAATATGTGAACTCCTTTGGCAGATTGTCGCAAGATCAAAGTGGTGTATTTTGTCTAGATAAACAACTTTCATTAAGTAACCTATATTAGCAGCTAAATAGTTGTGCCAGTATTAGCCACTCACTAGCTGATCCACAGCTAATAAGATGATATCTTTATAACTAGACAGGGTACAGAGCTGATTAAAGTACTACCAAAGATACTGGGTCAATATTCCTACAATATTCGTAGTATATCCATACCACTTCATAATAATCTATCAGACTTTTTAATCTAGCCATAGCTTCACCAGTTCTCCTAGATTTAAAGAATTATTGTACTAGTAGTAGGTAGGTGGTTATATTGTTCTTATGTGATCTAATATAAGTATAGTAAGATACCTTTTAGACTATACTGTTATACCACTTTTGTATAGTTTCGCTACTTGAAATTTAATTAAATATAATGATAATTTGATATCTATCTAAGAAATATATAGATCATATACTGTTATACCACTTTTGTATAGTTTCGCTACTTGAAATTTAATTAACTATAATGATAATTTGATATCTATCTAAGAAATATATAGATCATTGTGATCTAAGTTGTCTTATAGTCTAATAAATACTCACTGTAACTTGTAAATACACATCTATCTTTAGATATCTTAGATGTCTGTGTATATTTTATATATACTATTATCCTAATGGTCTAACAAGTTACTTAAAAGCAAAGGATCCCTATGGGGTAAAAGGTTTTATTATGAGATTATGTAAGGCCCCGGTATCGCGCGCTCCGCGACCCGGTGACTAGTATCTTATGATATTAATTTCCATGCATTGATCATCGTAGATGCGCATGAATTCTCCACTATAACATCATCGTTGTACAGTACTTATATACCGTATCCATTTTCTGTAGTGGTTAGTCTTTTCGAGGTCAACAAGTACACTCACGCCAGTTCTTTCCGTGTTCCCGACCTCGCTGGCCTTCTGCCCTCAGTCTCCCGTGTGCCGGGACCCGCTTTGGTAAGCGCCCCGTCACAGATTATACATCTCACATTGTTATATATAAGTGATGATTGACTTTAACAAGCTTGTTGAATAAGCAGTTAATGTCAGGTGCCACAGAGCTCTGCTCTAAACAGTTTTTATAGACAACTCAGAACTTGACATAGTATAGCATAAATGCATATACACCTAAAACATTAATATCAGTGGTTGTTGAATGATAGATAGCCACACACAGAAATCAAGTCTATAAATGGCTATCTGCACCCTCACCCTCTCCTAAGGCAGCAGCTACAACCCGAGAGAAGCTATTAGCAATAAGTAAACTGACTTTATTACCACTAGTGTCAAGATAGCATTTACGCACTGCCATCTCTTTGCAATAGTGTTTAAAGGGACTTGGGCTAATTAGAAAGAGATAGTGTCTCTTCTCCTCCTTAGATTATGCTGATAACATACTAGCATTAACTAACTCCCCCACACTACTAGTGTGCATAGCTATCACACTTTGGTGTCTGTATATGGGTTGTAAAGGCGCAAGTAAGTGGTATCGATCTTAATATTAGTTTTGTGGTTGTGTTTAATAACCTTGAAGGCCTGCTTAATAGGAGCAAGGTTGCTAGGCATATTGAAATCAGTTACATAATCCTAAACATTCTATTTAAAGTTGGCTATTATAGCAACATTAGTATAAGTTGATGCAACATCAGCATAGACTTACAATGCTGAAAGACAAACTATGGAAGGGTTATAGGCTGGGTTTTGTTTAACAGAATTAAAAAGTGGTAGTGGTGACTTAGAGTATATTTAAATGGAGGTCCCTAAATAAATAAAGCTTTTTAACAACCTACTCAGCTTGGTAAAAGATACGATAAGAGTGCGTTTCGACTACCCTAGGTTTACAGATCACGGCCTAGTGATACTGTATTAGCAACAACCTTGGGTAAACTTGGCCCTTATTTAGCATATTCTTATCTATATTTTCGAGTCAACAATTTCCTTCTTCAGACTGATAATATAAATAACTCTTATAGTTAGTGTTACAATAGTCTGAGGCTCGGTGGAAGCTTAGTAAAACATCACATCTACTTATCTAAGGCAGTAGCACAAGTTAGGTTCAGTCTTAAACATAATGTAAGGGCAACCCTAGAGGCCTGAGATTAAGGTCCTAGCAGGGGAGGATCTAAAGTGTAAACATTGGTAAGCAAATACAAATAAAGCTGACCTAGCAGGGGAGGATCTAAAGAGAAGAAACTGTAAGGGTCTGCCTGCTAGGGAGCTGACTATATACTGCTTGTCTGTAGCTGCCGCTGTCAGGCACAGAAGAACTGGGCGACATTACAGGCAAGGTCCCAGGACGACCGTTGGGAGGGCGTTGACGGATTAGCGATTGTGCGGGCGAGATGGAGGGCCAGACCGGAGTCGGAACCAGAATTAGACTAGAATCGGAATCATCTCCGAGGGGCCGAAAGGGGGCTCCCCTGACACATAATAATACTAATAAGGACTATTAAAAAAACTTATATAGTACTGTTTCCCCTCTATAAGATGCAAACATTCGGACAGTCTTATTACTAAGCCTTGCCACTTAAGAAGTCAGCTACAATGCAGCCTGATACTTAAGCAGGCTTGCCAATACAACTAGAACTCACCTGCTAGCAGGTATAAGTAGGGTTAATAGTCAGTTGACAACATAAGGAATACTAGGAGACAACAGGAGGACATTATAGGTATATATATACTTGTTAAACAATTATCAGCAGATAGTAAAAGAAAGAAATTTTTGATATAAAGCAGATAAAAGTGCTAATACAACATTCAGCTGCAAAGTTAATGCAGGGATGCTTTGTTAAAAATGTGGTGATGTGTTAATGAAACAGTAAAGTGCTAATGTATGGTGGCTATCTTTAATTAGACATAATCTCTAGTAATATTCAGATAGATTGTAAATCAACTAGGACAATATCTAGGCTACTAAAAGTATGTAGCCATAGAACTACAGTATTTATAAATGCTAATACTTACATTAAGCTCTAGCTTAGTCCATCTAATCTTATCTGTCTGCTCTTAAGTAACTATGTTTGCTTGTACACACCCGTTCTCCTCCATATCAGCCCAATTTGCATAAGTTCTGCCAGTTTATTGTTAAGCTTCTAGTGCTGTGCCTTCAATACATTTATCTTATAGTTAATGGCCTTAAGTTTAATGTCTTGCAAATCTGAGCAATCCCTCTCCTTTAATATATGCTCTTCTAAATGAGTAGGGCATAACTATTGCTGCTTCCAGCTCAGGTTACTTCTCTATAATCGCTTTCTCTGTATTAATACACTGTTAAAGTAAGCTTTCTGTTTGAGCCTTATACTAGATAATATTAATATTCAGATTTATGACTTTAGTGTTCCGCTAGGTCTTCAGTGTGGCAAGGTGTTTGGTTTGAGTAGGCTGATAACACACAGTAGCTGGTAGGGCACCTCCTTAGAGAAGGAATGCTATACCAACCAGTCTGCCAACTTATTATAGTGCTCCTGTGTCTGGTTTTTTATTAAAAGGCCATTATAGGTAAAGCCTTCGAAACTTAGCAGGTATTACGTGTTATCTCCGATGCCAGTTATTGTTGCACTAATTTCTGCAAGATTGGATCAGAAGTAGGTAATAAACCAGGGATTGTTACCCGTATTTATGAAGTATAATACTTGCGGAACCCTGTTTTATTGAAACTCTTAAGTATCTGGCGCAGCAATCTATTAACTATCACTTCTAGCAGTTTTGCAATATTGGTAAATGCTATAACTGGCTTATTAAACTGAGGACTAGCACGCAGAAGTGACAGCGCTTTAACAGGTCCCTATACTGCACAGGTGTGCAATGTTGGTCAACAAGAAAAATAAGTAAAATA